ACAGTTGAAGTGTACCTCTGGTGCAAATTACTGACCTCTGTCATCATTTTAAGTGGGGGAACTTGCACAATCGGTGGCTGACTAAATACTTATTTGCCCCACTGTAGAACTAAACAGGGCTACTATTCAGTTTCACAAACCATGCAAGTCAGCAGAAAGTGGAAGAAGGAGAAGCAAGCCTGCATGTTTTATAACACGGCTAAAATGGAAGAAGTGCAGCTCAGAGGGTGAGAATAGTTTGTTAATCGAGAACTGTGAATGCTCGAGAATACTTTGGGCTGCAGGATCTCACAAACCTGGTTCTCAACCAGCATGGCAATATCAACAAACATGTCGTGGAGTTCTTTAATGCTGCTCTCCAGCCTCATGATGTCTTTGTGACGAGCCTCGATCTCATTCAGGGCCTGCTGGTTGATCTTAGAGTCCATGATCTGTGGGGGAGGGAGTGTGAGGTGACCAGAGACACACAACTTAAAAGAATACACCACAAACAAGTGGATGTTCACAAACAGAGGGTCTGCTAGTGCCAAACTACAGGTTAAAACAAATCACATCTGCCTGTAAGTCCAGCTAACATCTCGCAGTTTGCTGTAACGACACTGCCTACATAACAAACACACACCAAGACAAGCAGAGAATCACTGCATTTGAAAAGCCGAGAATTTAATGGAGACATGTTGATGAGGAATGACTGCACTGCCTATCAAATACATAACAATTTGTTTTCTGTTGATTAGCTGACTTAATTATTTCTCCTTATAATTAAAAATAGTTGTGAAATGAAAGTTGTGCTGACCCGTGTGCTAGAACAGTCTACAGCTCCAAATCACAACAACGGTCACCTCAAGGTGCTTTAAAGTAGATCCCTACAGACAGAAAACTGCCACAGTCATGTGACCCCTATGAGCAGCACTTGGCGACAGTGGGAAGGAAAAACTCCCTTTTAACAGGAAGAAACCTCCAGCAGAACCAGGCTCAGGGGGTGAGGAGACATTTCCCTGACAAGTTTTCATGTAACACACAGAGAGAATTCATATGGAGATGTCATTAAATGACAGTGGAGCGGAGATCACAGTGACACCATCAAACACAAACCAGCAGGACAATAGTTCCTGGTTTATAACAGCCTCTGCGCTCCACAACCCACTAAGAGTTCGTGCCTCTGGCCAAAGACGCTGGTTTGCTGCAGGTGTTTGTGTGCGCATGCATGCACGTGCATGTGCATGCATGCAGGCTTACCCCTGCTGTGAAGACTGCAGAGTTTCCTCCCTCCAGCATCTCATCCAACTCTTCATCAGTCGTTGTTTTTCCAGCTGAACAGATCACAGAGACAAGAACTTGTTCATGCACCAGCCAGTAGAAACATGACTGTACACACAACAGCATGTGATTACACTGACAATACTACGAGGTGCCTGTTGTATTAATACTTTGATTGATGTAAAAGGTGGTTGTTAACCTTTAGGGCTGATGTGACACAGTAAAACCATAAAAACACCACGTTGGCTATTTTTATGGTAAATGGTAAATGGCGTGTATTTATACAGCGCTTTACATATCCAGTCATCCACCCATTCACACACACGGCTTTCTGTCAGATATTTGTCATTTTATTTAAAAACTAAAACATGTATCTGAGCACAGTACACAACAATAAGTTGGCACATAAATATGTTTAAAGCGTAGCAGCTGTCAGTGCTTAAAGAAAGTCGAATTCTCTTTAGTCTGACGGCCTGAACCTGATAAAACCTACGATAGAGGACAGGAGACGGCAGCGTTAGCACTGTGACTAGGGTCCAGGGGAACGACTGTGAGGTTTTAAGGAGCATTTAGATCATTTATGCTGTGAATTTCTTCACATATTGTAAAAAAAAGGGAAATATAAAGGATCCCGAAGCTGTAGTTTCCTCCACATCAAGCTTAAACGTAACCATATCATCAGCAGCTGGCACTCACTGATCTCCAGCTGGCGGGCGATCCGTCCCTTGCTCTTGTCTCTGAAGTCCACCTGAGCCTCGTTGTACTTTGTCATCACCTCTACAAACTTTTTGGCCAGAATGGCGTGCTGGGGGAGACAAGAACACAGACACTCCAATGACAGGCTCTCACACACACGGTGGGCGAGCTTCACAGTCGAGCCTGAGGACAGAGGACTGCACCGACACTGAATGTAAAAGGATGTGTGTGTGTGTGTGTGTGTGTGTGTGTGTGTGTGTGTGTGCAGCCTGCTACACTCGGTGGATCTGAACGTGACGTGTGGATGTTTAAGGCATCACAAGAGAAACAGCAGCGTGCTCCGCTCTGTCTGTGTGGTTGGGTCGGGTGAATCAGAGCTACTGTACGACTGCCTGACCTGTGACTTGCGTATCCTGAGGTCGGCCGAGGCCCTCTCGTCGGCGTTTGACTCCAGCTGGCGCTCGATACCTGACGCACACACGGACAATGTTCACCACTGCTTTTACTCACACATGTAAACAACACATTAGGTGTGCCACAGAGACACATTCTGATCACACGTATGTTTGTACAAACGGGAACCAGACAGTGTGCCGGAGAAGGAAACCAAACCAATACCGACTCTTCAGTTTGTTTCTTGCATTGTTGGCCGACTTTTTAATCTCATTGGTGAGAGCCTCGACATCATCCTGTGTTTCTGCAAGAGGTGGAAATGGAGCGTCACGCACACACACTGAGAATCACAGGCAGCACATTTGAACACGTTATCTGCATTACTCTGGTCGGAGGTCGGGGCAGACAGGATGGTGGAGTAGAGTTTTTTGATTTCTGTAACACTCTCGTCAATCTTGTCAATACTGCTGCGGATGTCTTCAATCTGACAGATGCGCGCACACACACACACACACACACACACACACACACACACACACACACACACACACACACACGGAGGCATCAAAGAGTAGAAATGCATTTTGTGTTATGATGCATGTAAAGTGGAGCAGACAGACACACTGCATACCTGAGCAAAGAAATCATCCATGAAAGCCTCACTCTCCACAGGAACCTCAATATCATCACCACCTGCATCGCTCTTCTGTTACACACACACACACACACACACACACACACACACACACACACACACACAGGTACACACACACTATTAACTGACGTTTTCTGTCTCTGTGATAAGACAAGAACATTTGTACTGAGCCTGAAACGACTTCCTGTTTGTGAGTCACATGACACCAGCTGCACTTTGAATCGGTGCCTGACACGTCTAAAATAAACGATGATTAATTGTCGTTTGTGTGATTAGCAGCTCCTCACATTAAAGAAAGATTGATGAGGACTTACTGATTTCACTAGAAATTCAGTCAGAATATAAAAGAATGAGAAGAAAGCAGCTCCTGTATCTTTTGGAAACATGACTTTGAGTTTCACGTCTGCGGCTAACATCTCTGACATTCAGTTGAGCTCCACAGTGGGGCAGTCGCCTCGCACCATGACATCTATAGTACAGACTAGTCAGGCCCCGTGCGAACAACGCAGGCGCCATCGACGAGAAGGCAAACAGCGGCACAGTCCTGCTTACCTCCTTCAGCTGAGCCAGGCGGTCTTTCATCTTCAGAAGTCTTGGTTGAATTAAAGAAACACAAAGAAAGAAACAGCTAGTGTGTAGCTGGAGTGTGGCAGGTGTGCTCTCTGAGGTCCACAGAGCTGCTGCCTCTACACCTGCCCACAGAAACGTTTGCTTCAATGAATCCGCAGAACTAAGAAGAGAACAGACTTCTGAGGGTGAAATAACTCATGCGTGCAAACCAATGAATGCCTTGCTCGTGTGGATGGTTGTGTCTGAGACAAGTTGTGATCAACCTAACCTGAGGTCCCACTAAGCCTCTATCCCCTAAGAGCGGATTAGGACGACAGTGTTGACCACGATAAACCTCTTCCTGGTCCCTCCTCCCACACGGCAGCCTGTGGATTTTCTCTTTGGAAAGGAGAGCAGAAGTTGGCCTTTGTCTTAGGATGTGTTACTACTGTGTCTTATTATTTGTATAGATAAGAAAGCACCATGAATAAGGATGACGTCTGCGGCGGGGGGGCTGAGTGATAAGAGCAGGCAGCAGTCTCCTGTGACCTGCTGTCCCTCGGATGCACGAACGAGCCAGTCTGACCCAGCAGCAGAGCTGTCCCAGCCCTGACCCACCTCACAGCACCGTGAAGCACGTGTTCAGCGGTGGAGGAAGGGGCACGCTCCCCACCCAGCACTCCATCACAGGCCAGGCTGCCCAGCCTGCTCCACCAGGTCCCTGCTTCGTCACTGCCAGGACAACCCCACCCTCATGGAGGATGACTGTCCCCGACTCTGCAGCAGGGACTGCTTGGACCCAAAATGCTCATTTAAGCCATTTGTTCCACGTCTGTAACAAATGAGTTTATTCCCATGTCACAGATGGCAGTACGACTCTTTCACCACACCGATCCTGCAGCGCATTTATCGTTATTTGGTGCTTTGATTACAACATTTCCACGTTTGTGTTGAAGCTACAAAACAACCATAACTAGAGCTGTTTACTTATTATTTACCCATCACAAGAACAATGGAACATTTGTGACGTGGAGGAAAAACTCTCAGTACGTGAATGTTGTCTGTGAAACAGTCAAGAGGTGCAGGTCCCATCTGTTCCTGTGCAAATGATTCAAAGGAGCCTACGCTGATTAAAAAATGAACACAAATGACAGGCTGGGACTGCAGCAGATCAGACATCCTGAAAGTGTCCACGCTACCTGCACCTTTTCCTCCACAGCTGGATTTGAGCCTGGGAGACTCAGGAGCAGACCTTACATTTACATCAGTCCAGCACCATTCATCATCTTCATCTGTTTCTTTGTTAACGCTGCAGGTAGCTCAGACGCTGCAGGCTCAACATCCCCATTTTTAAATATAGTTAAAGTACAAGTAGACATGCACCAGTCCAACCAGAACCAAGGCCCTACTTCCAGCACGACTCTGAGCGAGAGACTGTGTGACGCGACGTCATGCTCAAACTTGTTTTTTTACTTGGTGAAAAGAAAAAGGAGCGCATGTTTTTGAAAAGTTATTTATTAGTGGAATGACTGAAAACAGGCCTGAGATTAGGAGTCCATCACCTGATCGATGTGTCAGCTTGTCCTGCACCTCCTCCTGATTCACTGCAGCTGAAGTGCAACTACATTCAGTGAGAAGAAAACGCCTCTGTGATCTGACAGGACCACACGTAGAGGAGCCAGAGCCAGTCAATGCAGCTGCTGGTGTAACGAGCGCCTCCACCAGCTGCTGCTCGCAGGGCAAATCTAACAGAAGTTGGGGTGAGGCACTGGGCTCTGGGAGAGGAACGGTGGAAGAGGAGAAAGTGTTTTTCATTAAACTTCATCCAAATATGTGGGCGTATCTGGGAGGGAGCTGCATCCAATCAACTCGTCTACGAGCTCGATCTGCTCCCGCTCAGCAGTCTGTTGGGAATGTGCCGTGCTTTCTGTGAATTTGAAGAACGATCCTAAATGCAGAGATCCTCGGGCGACTGTCGTTTGACTTGGCTGTCAGAAGATTCTCTCCGTCACTCTTCTGTCCTCGTCCACCTCTCCATCTCCCTCAGCCGTCTCTCCAGGATCTTCACCTGCTTCTCGAGGCGAGCAGTTTGATTAGCCGCACTGGAACTTCCCCGAGTCCCGACGTTCAGCAGGACGCAGACACACAGCAGGACAGCCAGTCGGATGGCCATCGCCTCCGTGCCCACGTTGTAGTCGCTCAGGATGAGCACAAAACAGGTTAAAGCGACTCCGACTTTCAGAAACCACAGGGCGCACATCAGAGTGGAGGCAACCAATCGGAAGGCAAGAGAAATCAGCCAGTAGCAGATGAGAGCTGCGAGGACCCACTGAATGACGAAGATCAGGCCCTCTGGGGTCACTTTGTTGGTAGGAAGGCTAACTGTGGAAAAAAGCACCAGAAATTACATTTCATACAAAGCTGCTCATTTCCACTGACACTCTTACTGCGACGCTACAGATGGGAGCTATCACCGGGTTCTCATTGGCTCTGCTGTGAGAGGCTCCACCATCTCTGACTGCATACCAAAGACATTACATCATGCAGATGAACTACACGCTGTCTGGTCAAATGTTTGTGCACGCTGAAAGTGTTTCCTCTCCTTGTTGGAGTTATTACTCTACAAAGTTACGTGTTACACTAATTTCACATTACTCCTTTCCTGAAACTCACGGTCTCATTTAACAACATAAACCCAGCTGCTGGTTTGCAGGACGCACACGTGTGATCTGTGTCGGAGTATTCAGGTGTGAGCACAGAGCAAACATGTTAGCATGCTGTCTGTGCAGCTGATGCTGTTAGCAGCAGAATGCAGCTGCTTGTGTCCAGTTTACTTTACCATCACGCTCTCGTCCTTGTGCAGTAATAATAAAAGTAACATCCATGCTCACGCTGCAGACTGAGCCATTATTTTCCTCCTCCTGCACACCAACTGAAATCAGCTGATTGGAGAACCAATAACCAGGATCAATAGGCAGGCAGAATAACAGTGCCAGCGAGTTAAACTACTGGCATGAACCAGCTCTTGTACGGAGTCGCTCATATTGAGATTCTCGCCTCTATGTGAAGCGCAGCAAGCTTCAGTTCGATTCTAATAAAGTCATTCAGCTGATCCATCCAACAGATACAGGTCCAAGGCTCCATGGATCTCTGGTTAAAAGGTTTATGCTCAGCAGGTTAAGCACCTACCAAACATTTTTATCCAAAAGGGGAGTCAAGGCTGGAAAAACAACTTTGCCCACAGTCTCTGGCTTTGATGGCACCACAAGGTGGCAGCACCCACTTCTGCTATATTTGAACTGACAGCCCAGAAACAAACGATGCTCACCTTGGATCCCAGAGGCCTGCAGTAACTGGGAGACGTAGTGCAGCAGGACATTGAGAGCACCGGCCACGCTGCCTGCAACCACAGCTAGGACCTGAGAGAAAGCCTGCAGAGGCAGGTTTGTTTCAGACAACAGTGAGGGTAAGAACACAGAGAAACGGCCAAAGTTCACTGATGTGACTGTCAGCGAGAGCGAACAGTCCCCTCTCTGAACCTAAACTGCTTATGTCGAATTATTATGGTTTCTAATCAGGGCTAGTGTGGTGATAAAACCTGATCGTGTACACACAAGTTCAAAACTGGATGCCGAGAATCCGTTCCACAGAGACCGGACTACTTCCGCTTCTTACCTTCTGCACCAGCCTGCCCAGGTAGGTCGTGCCCTGCTCGGCCAAGTCAGCCAGGGTGTCCCGGACTTGCTGCATGGTCTCTGGTAGAGTCTCAAACTCCGTCTCCCCCTAAACTGAGAGCACAAAGCCCGCCAAAAACGCTTCCGTGAGCAGCTTCCGTGAGCAGCTTCCGTGAGCACTGCTTCTTAATCACACTGTCTACTCCGAAGAACTACAAAGGAAACTACATCCAGCTACAAGTACACAACTTTACCGCGGTCAAGTTTTTCCAGCAGGATGTGGAAAAAGTCCGTATGAATGATGAAGGACGTCTGCCCCCTGCTGGGACGAGTGTGCAGCTGCATGCAACATGAAACAGTCTTATGTACCCGACAGTACAACACAGTACTCTACAGTACAACACTACTCTATTACACATCACAGTACTCTACAGTACAACAGTACGCTACGGTACGCTGCACTGCACTGCACACGGACTGAGCTGTGGTTGTTTGTTGCCGTTGTTTATCTGTGCAGGTGAGAAGTCTGTTCTCTCTCATGTTGGTAATGTTAGGGTGCAGTTAGAGAATATTTAAATTCAATGCTCAAACAGGATGGTGCAGCAGACCTCACAGGAACACTGGTAAAAACCTCTGGCAGCTGACACAGTTTAAATAAAACAGTTTAAAGAAACCGGAACGAGGAAAGGGAAGTATGTGCCACTGTTGGTTCTTGTGTTTCGTTCTCATGCTCTCCTTTTCTCTCTTCTCTTTCTGCTCAGCCACAAACTGGTTGTGGCCCCAATAGGCCAGTTTAGACCTTTTTGGAGGGGTGCCCAGACACCCCTAGATTTCATCACAGCAGTAATTATCTGCAATTATAATAGCAAATAATTCGATGTGATTCTCTAGTTCAAACAATTAGTGTGTGATTGTCAGTGCAAAGAAGGAGTAAGGAGGATGGAGAGAGAGACAACAGAGAGTCTGTTTAAGAGCAGGAAGAACCAGGTGAGTTGTCCACTGACCTGGTTCTTCCAGGTGAGTTGTTTGGTGTTTTTCGAAAAACGATTTTTCTCAAAATAACCTGACATGCATCTCATGGGTGCATTTCAGTAGCTTATGATACGAATGGTAGCATTTAAGAGATGGCAGCATTAATGTTACTTGTTTGAAAAGGTAACAAGCTTTAACACGTAACACACGTTTTGCCATATGGCAGTAAAAATAACACAGAAACGTATTCAGTGATATTTGTAAGTAAGTAAGTAAAATTTTATTTATATAGCACATTTCTAGATAAAAGATCACAAAGTGCTTCACAAGGTATAAAACAAAAACAGTCAAAAGTTAACAAAATGCAATTTTAAAAAGATGTTTTTAGCTGTTTTTTAAAAGTAATCACTGAGTCTGCAGATCTTAAGTTCTGAGGAAGAGAGTCCACAGTCTGGCGGCCACAGTGGCAAAAGCTCTGCCACCCTTGCTTTTCAGTCTTGTATACTGAATAACAAGTAGGCCCTGATCACAAGACCTCAGGGACCTGCTAGGGACATAGGGCTGTAAAAGTTCAATGATGTAGGCTGGTGCTTGTTCTTGAAGAGCCTTAAAGGTCAGAACCAGAATCTTAAGATGGACTCTGAATTCAACGGGGAGCCAGTGCAGCTGTATAAGCAACGGTGTTACATGAGAGTATTTAGATGTTTTGTCAGAAGCCTTGCTGCAGCATTTTGGACAATCTACAGACGCTCCAGGGAGTTTTTGTTAAGACATGTAAACAGTGAATTACAGTAGTCCAATCGTGATGAAATGAATGCATGAATAACAATCTCCAGTTCAGTATGAGACACTGTAGGGCTCAATTTAGAAATGTTTCTTAAATGATAGAAGCAGGACCGAACTAGAGATTTGACGTGGACATCCAGGGTAGGAGCAGAATCAAAGGTTACCCCGAGGTTCCTGATAGACGGTTTCACAAATGTTGAAAGAGGACCAAGAGCATTCATTATGTCAGGTACATGTCTGTCTGGAGCACATACAAGAACTTCAGTCCTTTCTTCATTAGGTTGGAGGAAGTTGTCGGCCATCCAACCTTTGATGGTTTCTAAGCACACATTTAGAATCTGCAGCTTAGAAACATCTTCAGGTTTAAAAGACACGTACAGCTGGATGTCGTCTGCTGCTGCAGGACATCCAAAATCCTTCAGTGGGAACACACTGGTTCTAATACAGCACTTATCTATTGTACCGGAGCACTTTGATCACTTCATGCAACATCACTCACTCACTCATACGAGTGTGGCCGGATGGCTAAACTCCAGCTTCCGCGGCTGGCTAGGGCGATCCTCAGCTGCATATTGTGCTGGTATTGCAAAACTGGTACTGCCTCTCCTGGTTGCTCCCAGTTTGTGGAGAGTCATTGTGGTTTTATCTTATTTTATATTAATAAATGAAACTGTTAATGTTTGAGCCGGCCTCAGTGTGCATCCCTGAACCTGTGCAAACGTTGTTGGGTATTTTATTCCCAAACGATTTTATTTCCTGGGGTGAAATTCCCCTAGGTGGTGTCATTGTATTACACTTTTTTAATAGCCCCGCCAACCACTTGGTCACACAAGCACTTGTGTTGTATGAATGAAAGTGCTTTCCATGTGACCTTCACACTGCAGTGAACACATCTGAGAACAACGTGGATTCAGTGTCTTGCCCAGAAATACTTTGGCTTGCAGAGTGGAGCAGCCAGGGATCACACCACCTCTACAGCCGGTGTGGATGGTTGTGGACTGCTCCGCTTGACTACACAGCCAGCTGGATTAGTAGAGTCTTGGTCTGTCAACCTTCTGAAGTGCTCGGCCTCCCAGAGACTGCTGACTGTTATACTGAGTACTTTTTGTAATGCTGAGCATCAGATTAGTTTTTTCCTTTGCTGTGGAGGTATGATCAATGTATGGATACGTCTTTAAGACTTCAGCATACATACTGGCACCCAAAGTAAACTACAAATTAAGCTCACGGACAGTCAGGCCTCCTTTCTTTAGCTTTGACAAATATTGATGGGTCTGTCTAGCACAAACCCCTCGCTGGAACGCGACAACTCTACTAAAGCAAGACGCAAGCCACCAAAGTTCTGTGTTACTCGTGCACGAGGGAGAGAACTGACGAGCGTCCTGTCGCTCACCCCATCGCTCACCCCATCGCTCACCCCATCGCTCTCGTCTGCTCCCTCGTAGCACTGCTCTTTATTGAGGTTACATGAATATGCATAGCTTCATTAACATATCGTGTGTGGTCAAGATGTGACCCTGTGAACAACTCCCCTAAATCTGCTGGCCTGGACGTCCAGCAGTTCAGCTAAACAAAAGGTGCTTATACCAAAGCAGACATGGATGAGTTTACCATAAAACAAGGTACGAACTCTCTCATGACCCTAGGATGTGTATGTATATCAGAGGGAGGCACACCGGCTTTGCAGACTGCTAAGGATCAGACATCATATCAATATGCAACGATTATACACCTCTAAAATATATGGTTATATATTTCTAAGCATAACAATCCACAATATAAACCTAACAAATAGGAAGTCATTTTTCTATCTTGTAATAAATCTGTAGAGTTTGGTTCTAGTCTTTCACTGACTACTACTGTTACGAACCCAGTAAAGAAAGGAAAACTATCCAAACAACTCCAGGCAATAAAAACCAAACAAAAATATAAATACAGCAAATTTTATTCCAACATGCTCTAAAATGCTTCAGCGTTTTGTCCTGAAGATGGCAGCAGGAGGCCTGTAAGTGCCCTCATAATGTTTTAAATGTCTTTTTTGTCATCTTATAAACTTTAATTCTCACCGTAGAAAGAGCTGGTTATTCTTTATTTACGAAGAAGGCCTGCAGGTTGGTCATTTTTAATGGAACAGGAAATGCCAGCACTGCAGATTTGCAGTGTATACAGCAAGATAAAATGGTTAACAACAGAGTAGCTGTCCTTCACAAACCACCGTGTAAGTTTGAAAACATCTCTGTGTTGGCCCTGCGTCAGTCTAACCCAGGCGACACTCTGGAGCCTCCAAAGCCTCTTCAACCAAGCTGTACCAACAAACCTGACCAAACTAACAAATACTGAAACAATGATACTGTAAAGTGTCTCCACAGAGATGCTAAGGTGAATAAGAAAAGTGAGAAAAAAGCTCCAAGTGAAACTGAGAGAACTCAAAAGGACTGTGACAGAAACTCACAACAGGAATCACAATGTGGCCCATTCCCCTGTGCAGCACTGCTGAACTGGAAGTTTGGGTCCTCCCACTATTCAAATTCCACTTTAATCTCTGGGCAAGTTGTTAAATTTACTTTAGTATAGAACACTTTCTGGTCTTTTTGACCACTCAGAGCACTTTACATACATACCTGTGAGCTATAAAATTAGTCTCAAGTGAGGACGCTAACACCTGATGACAGAGGTGCTTCATTTGTTGCACAGTCCAGTGTTGACAGTGTGCCTTTGTCTCACGCAGTGGGTTTGATGTGTTTATTCATTTATGACGTTTTCAAATTTTACACAAAATACTGTCAAAGATGGCACGAACAATTCTCTTAACACCAATCTTATCACAATAACATTTTTATTTGAAACATGGTCTCAACACTGCACACAATGTTGTATCCTATGTGCCACACCTACGTTTAAACCTGAAAGAGGAAAAAAACCTGGACTGGACTGTGAAGAAGAAGTCCCAGGGTTTGTTTCTGACTGGGTGCCTTCTTCATGCAGGTACGTTTCTTCCACATTTAGTGAAGTTTCTTGTTTATGTCATTTGAAAATTGCAGAACCTTTTCTCTTGATTACAAAATCAGGATCTTTCAGCTATGAAATTCTTCAGATACAAAAACCATGATCCATTTTTTCTTTCAAGGCAGTGCATTTCTATATGGTCCCTGTATGCTATCAGAAGACTTTATTTATCCCCAAGGGGCCATTAACAAACAATTGCCCCTTGGGGATAAATTGTTTGTTAATGGCCCCTTGGGCAACTACTCAGCAGTTGTGACTGGACATAGCCGAACGCTCCACATTCATATGTGACATCATCTGCCACACATAACAAGTACGGTTGTCTTAGAGGAGAATACCAGAATAAAAAGTCTTTAGTCTTGGATAAAAATGCGTCCCTGCACACATGGCTGCACTTAGACTGTGATGTGCCGTCCATGAACCATTAATCCAGTGTTGAACAGTTATTACTAGGGGTGCAACGATATTCGTATCGATATTGAACCGTTCGATACAGTGCTTTCGGTTCGGTACGCATATGTATCGAACAATACAACATTTGTAATTTATTTTATCAACTTTCCTTCTGACGATGCTGTCTGTGTTGAGCGCTCAGTGAATCTGCGTTCGACTACTCCGCCTAGGCTGCACTGTCGAGCGCAGATCCACTGAGCGCTCAACACAGACAGCATCGTCAGAAGGAAGAGCGCAGGGCAAGCTAGCAAGACAGAAGTTAAGCTCTCCTTGCAAGATGGACCTCCCCCACCCTCATTCAGATCTGGCGTTTGGAATTATTTTGGTTTTCATGTGACGTATGACCCTGAAGGTAAGCGAGTCATGGACTAAAGTAAAACAGTATGTTGGATGTGCCACGCAATGCTCAATTACATTGGTGTGAACTAGTGTGTTAGCGCAGTTAGCTCGTTAACGTGTTGGCCGTCTAGCCCCACGCACGGGGCGATTGGCGGTAGCTCGTTAACGAAGATTTGCCGTGTTGTGGCGTTAAGGTCATTTCAATGAGATTAACCTGAAAGCACTAGTGGGAACACAACGAATATGACTGCACATTTACGCCGACATCATCCTAGTGCAAAGACAAAAGCAACAAGCATGCTACTAACTTTAGCCGAGTCATTTAGACAGCTGTTAGCACATGATTCTCCTTATGCTGCTGAGAATATAGCCCAGAAGAAGCGGATAGTATAGCTTTTATTTTGGAAAGAGACATTTCTCTGTAATAAACTCTCTTTTCCAAAGATGAGTGATTCCTCAATCAGATACAGGGCTCGCAATATCGCTAGCCCGACGTCCTGGGGCTAGCGATTTTTTCAGTCGGGCTACCAAAATCTATCTCTGCCCTGCCCGTCGGGCTATTGTAGGAAAAATATACGTCAATGCTTTTGCATTCTTTCAGAAATGTAGCTGGGTAATTATGTCATTGGCATCGGTGAGCCACTGTCAATATGTGACATATTAAAATCGCGTTTGAATTTGCGCTTGTTTTTTTGCTTTCACTTTGCAATCGTGCGAACTGTGTATAGAGAGCGACAGCACTGATCTGTGAGTGATGATAATTTGTGCACCAATTCCTCTGACATCGTCTTATTAATCGTTAGCTTACTATGCAAACATGACAAGTGAAATCTCCCGCAGCTTAAACATGTGAGAGGTTGATCGCGCAGAGAATCGCTGAGCTTATGTGAGTGCATGTGTAAAAGCAGCAGGATATATATTTTATTTCTGCTGAGCCAAATAAGACAGGTCAGGGTGAAGAAGTGACAGCCAAAGAAAAGCTTACCGCAAAACGGAGAAGTTATGACAAATCAGACTATAAGGCAAAAAGAAAGTGCAGCTTTATGGTTTCATGGACAAAAGAATTTCTGTGGCTGCGATATGATGAGCTAAATAACCAGGGCTGCACATAAGTGGTCCGCAGGTGCGCATTCGCTGTCAAAATAAAAAACACGCACAAGGGTTAGGGTTAAATTTAAAAACTGTACTTTTGCGTTAAAATATATATTTATAATTTTAATAAAGACAAATTAAAAAGGCATGAACATTTTTTTTGTATCGAAAAAATATCGAACCGTGACACCAAAGTATCGAACCGAACCGTGAATTTTGTGTATCGTTGCACCCCTAGTTATTACGTCTGTGTGAAAGGCCCTTGACAGAACTGGCACACTTGTGTAAACATGGCAGGTAGCAGAGTAAATAAGTGGTAGATGTAAGGGGTTAGACAAATTCAAGACTTTCAATCATCAGGACACAGATGATCAATCAGTCAAAGGATAACTGATCAGTTCAGGTTGGGCGATGTAAGCAGTGTTGAAGTGGGTGGAGCTGCTTCACCGAGAGGCTGCAAAAGAAATAAAGAGAGTCTGTGTTTCAGACATCTTTCCAAATCACAACCGAGTTGGCAAAAGTACAGACATTCTGTACTTAAGTAGAAGTCCAGATACTACTGTTAAAAAATACTCCAGTAAAGGTTGAAGTACTGATTCAACTCATTTACTCGAGTAAAAGTAAATATTACAGACTCCAACATGTACTCAAAGTAAGACAGCAAATAGTAGTTCTTTGCAGCGCATTTCTATTTTTGTGCAAAGCATGAAGTTGATGTGAAGGTGGAATTCAGGATCTCAGCATCATCAGCTAAAATTCATATGAATCTCTGACCATGAACCCACAGCCACTGTGCACCAGTCACACACTGGCCTTTACTTTAAACCCATCACAGTGAAGCAAACCAGCCTGTTTATCCTGCTCTAACCTGCAGAGGATTGTCATGCAGCAAACAAAATGTTGAGATGGGTATTGTAGCTGACATTGTTGCAGATTTGATCCAGATGCACTTTGAGTATGAAGACTATGAAGAGTTTGAGAGCTGGATACTTACAGTGTATGATACGAAGCTACGCCTCTGCCTGAAGAGAAGGACACAGAGAATGGCAGCGATGACTGTCTGGGCCAGAGTGAAGACGAGGAGGGACGACTTCACTCCCCTGCTCAGCCTCTGTTGTGAAAAGTACATACAAGATGCATTAATTATTGCACAATTTATCCATGCTCAGTGCCATTACTTGTGCTTTTGCTGTATACAAGCAAAGTAATCCATCCATCGATCTACTTAAACTAATGAATAAATGTCTGGATGGATCATTAACATGAATGATGAATTATTTCAAGTCTATATTCTATATTTTATTGAAAAGAGTATGAAGGCAAGTGGGAGATTCTTATTTTGAAATTCTTTATCATATTTCTTGTTTCATAATGGTCCAAATGTTTTCTGTGTGTTGTCTCCAGACAGGCCAGTTTCGTGCTCATTGACTATTAAGCTGTGTCTTGGATATGTGCAGAATGGGTTTTGGTAAATAAGCATCATCTGTAAAAACCCCCAAACAAACATCTGCATGACAGCATTTGTTGCTCCACAACCCAGATGTATGTTCAGAATGAGTTGGTCCTTCACAGATGTAAAACCTAAACATAGATGCACTGTTGCACTCCTACACCATCAGAAACGCTGTCTATAGTCTGTGTCCTCCAACAAGATAACTGCCCATTGAAAAACTGTTTCATAAGTGTCATAAGACAGTTTTCCAATTCTTATCAGTCCATCTTAAATCAGCTCATGTCCAGGGAAGTTGGAGACGTGTCTCGACTGTGTTTACATCTGTTTTTTCTTTGCATGGAACAATTTTAACTTGCATTTGTGGCTACAGTGGACTGTATTAACTGCCAGCTGCTGCATGAAGCCCACACAGTGATTTCCAACACAGGCTTGTATCTGTTTTTAATATCACCACTATTTCATATAGTAGTCAGCACTGTCCTTGGCCTAACAGATGTTTCGTCAATCAGTAAAACGCTCCACAGAGCTGGCCCTCCAGTCAAACCCATTGACACTGAAGAACAGCTTTGGTTAGGACCCTAAGGTCACTCTAACACAGCCCCTTACAGAAATGCTTGTGCTCTAGCTGCGGACATAGCCTCACCATTCCAGGGCTTGGTTTTTTAACATAGACACGTACTAGAATCTGGGTGGGAATCGAACGTACGACCCCCGCACCAAAGGTGTGTAGTCTTACCACTAGACTATCCAGCTACTTTTCTTGAGTGGGCCAGACACACACATCATAAACCATTCACTCGTACTTTGTACAGTGTAGTATTGTACAAATCATGGTGTCGTACAAGAGAAGTCCAATAGGATCGATTTTAAAGTTCTTTTATTGGTTTTTAAATGTCTTAATGGTCTTGGGCCTTCTTATCTCTC